ATTTCATCAATAGTAGTTTTAAATTTTGATTTAAATATTTATATTCTATACATGGAACGTATCTGTTCCATTTTCGTTTTTTAGACCTGATGATGGCCTGTTAATCAGGTTGAAAACGTTAGTTTTTCAAATATATTTCTCAGCAACAAATTAAGGTGTTTTAATTTCTGTGTTTACTTGCTGAGCACTTTTAATGTTATCTTTGTGATGTAACTGTTTAGGAAATAATGCATACAAGTTAACATAAAAATTTGCACTGTTACAAAATTTTTAACTTGCATGGTTATAAGCACAGAAATGGTGAAAATTGATAAAATACAGATGACAATTATTATTTTACAGGTATTTGTTATAATAATAGTAGAATGTTAATGATTTACAAGAACAATGTATATAACATAGATGTAAAAGTTGTAAACTTACATTAGATATGATGGTGCAATACATAAAGTAGTATTAGCAGTGAGAGGCAAACAATACACATAATACAGTACACAGTTAAAATCATAACATTTAAAACTGACATTGGAAACTGTTTTACCATTAAAACAATAAAATAGAATAATGAAGTAAAAAACCTGTTCACCATTAAAACAATAAGACTATAAACTTATACAGTAGAATCATAACACGAAACGATTCACAGAAATAACAAGAAACTTGCCGCAATTTTCCTTTTTATTTAAACCAGGGCTGTGGAGTCGCGTAAAAATCTACCGACTCCAACTCCGACTTTTCCTTACCATCCGACTCCAACTAAAACACCTAAACTCCATGAAACCAACTCCGACTCCAACTCCACAGCCCTGATTTAAACACTCTCCTACCCCCCTCACATCCCCTCTTGGTCAAATATGGCTACCATGTTTCATATAATTTTTGACCAAAATTATTATCCATAATTTTGTCTTTGTTTTTTAGTATTTCTAAATGTTCAATTTGAGCTTATGATGGCTTTTCTTTTCTGCTAGACTTATTTCACCATCATTCAGAAGGAAATAAAATGTGATTTTCTAAAGCTTGTCCTGTTTCTGAATGATGGTGTAACAAGTCTAGCGGAAAAGAAAAGCCATCATAGAGCTCATAAATTGAGCAGAAATTAAGCCAAATCATTTCTCTGCAAATGAGAGTTGTTTGATTAAATTATTGGCATGTAAAATGAAGGTAAGCTTAGAATGAAAAATTATATCTAAATCCTGAACTTGAAGAACTTGTTATGTATTACG